CATTGAGAGGATCCAACTGGGTTTACCATTAGGGTAGGAACCATATAGGTTCATAGTAAGATACTGTCCCATTTTCTGCTTTACACAGGGTCACCAAAGAATATACAGATTAAAATGAGTTCTGTAAAGTTGCTCAGTAAATAAGCCCTCTCTGGTAGCTTTGCAACAGGGCTATCTTTATTCTGGTAGCTTCTTTTGGAAATGCTGCCAGGAGTTTCCTGCCAGGAGTCTGCCCTGCCATCGTTGTGCTGTCACTGTGCTGATATTTAAAGCAAAGAGACACTAAGAGCAGGTCAGCTATGGGCCTGGGTAATTCTCCAATGACCAGAAATAGAAAAGTCTCAATTTCCTGAAGAATGGCAGCTTTGGCAACGATTTATCACCCCGTTTTTCCATCATAGCAACATAGCTGGATTAGCAACATGACTTTTCAGTCTTGGATGATGATAAACAAGATGGAAGAGATCAGGAGGTCAGCAGTGTTTCAACAGTCATCTCCAAAAGGAATTCCTTTCATTAAAGTATAGACTGCTGCAGATTTTTCTGGCATGCTAACCTGTGTTAAGCAGAGGCCTCTGAAACACTGGCAACACTGGCTTGTGGTCATTTTGAATCCCACTGTGTCTTCTCCTCTCCCATTCATCAGATTTTGAAGTCGTCAGATATAAAAATAATGTTTTATTGATGACATTATATTTGTGGTGCAAAACGCACACCTACAGAAACACCTATGCTTAATCCCAGGTAGTGTGGTGCTGTAATAGTTAAGCTCTCCAAGTAAAACAAATGGGACATTTATTACTGCAGGTTTTTAGCTCATAATACTGCTAATAGAATATTAGTAAATGCCAGTTGACAGCTGTTTGATATAATAGTACTTTTTTCTAGTCGTGCTGGTTCAGCTTCTCACAGTGTTTGTGCTCAGGAGGAGAAGGCAGTGACCTGGCCTTGCCAGCCAGCTGGTTAAACTTCCTAAGAGCTGGGCAGAGCTGCTCAAATGGCTGCTCCAAAAGAACCCCAGTTTTGAAAATATGGTTTTTACTTGGTGCTTAATCCTGTCAGTGAGGTTTTTCCCTTTCCACCTGCAATAAGTTTTGTGTTTTAAATGAATTCTTTGGGAGTGCAGGCCTGGGTAACTGTACCTCTGTACATTGGCAGATCTTACAACTACTTAACATCATAGAAATAGCACAAGCTTGATTTCCTACTTTCTTTCTCTAAGATAAAATAGCAACTTCTGTTTAATTGGTCTTGATTTTCACTACTGCAAGTCAAAGAGATGGATCAGGCCCATTAGGTCAGTGTTCTGACGTCAGCCAAGCCTTTAGATTAGGTTTGAAGGCTCACAGAGTTGATGTGATGCGGGAACACGGAAATGCACCAAAATTAACAGTACTATTGTTTTCTTTGAAATTTAAGGTGCTAGTTATTGACCCCTGCCCCTTCATTTTGATCTTAAACCCTCCCTTTGCACATAACCCACAGAGCAGTGCCTCACCTGGCATGATGTCCTTGTGTAGCTGCCACCACTCACAAAGAGCTGCTTCTGCACTAAGTGTTGCTGAGGAGGGCAAGAGCTCAACCTGTTCTTGTTCCTGCAGCTACCTTCGAAGCCCAGCAGCCAGTCTCTGCGCATCAGCAACTGGTCAGAAAGGAAGAGCCATCGCTTACCACGGCTGCCCAAGCGGCACAGCCATGATGACATGCTTCTGCTGGCTCAGCTTGGCATTCCCTCCTCCCCTTCCAGCATCAATGAGGACAGCCTGAGTACCACAAGTGAGCTGCTGTCTACACGGCGGGCCAGGAGGATCCCAAAGGTATTGGCGGGATGATCAGGGTTACGCTGAGGATAGGTCACCTGTCTGCAGGAGCTTGCACTATCTGGCCTTTAGCCATCACTGAAAGCTTTTTTTGTATCCCAAGGGAAAGTTGAGATCAACACAGAAACTGTGACTCTCAGGACCCAAGGCGTACTCCTTTTTTACATGCAGTCAGACTGTGAAAATCCCTTCTCTGGAGTGGGTAACTGCCCTGATCCAAAAGTAGCAAACATCTGATTGCCATCTTTGTGCAGAGCTGATTTTAAGCCAATTCTGGTTTCCAGACCTCACTTGAAACTCTGTGGACCAGAGCATTGTTGTGTACCTAACTCTATGATTTTGAATGGGTGATGACCAAGCAATTATTATTTGTAACATGCAGCAGCATCTGAAGTGATTTTTCTTTCCACCATCATTTATTTACTGGTCTCAGGACAATAACTATTATTGGCCTAATATGTTTCCCTTCATTTACTCACAATCCACTCCATCCCGATAACCCTGTTGTCTTCATGGATTTGAAGAAAAAATTAATTTTCCGTTTTTCGAGGAGTTTTCCAGTTCAAAATGGGATGCGATAAAATCCCAAGCTGCCAAACAATAACAAAAGAGACCAACAAACCTCTTCAAGTACAATAACAACGAGAGCACTGCCAATATCTTTATTTTTGACTTCTGAACAAAGCTGATTTTTATTGTATCAGCTCTTTCCTGTTCTTATTAGAGAGCATATTTTAAAGTACATGACTGTGAATACTGTGAGTGGAGGGAGATTTTTATGCTCTTGTCTATTAGTCTGAAATTCTGTCTAAGGATGTAATTAATCCTTAATATTTACTATATTTTTACTTTCTTGGAATAGACTACTGAACAAACGAGCATAAATCTGTGAAGGAAGTTATAGAATAACTTGCAGAGTAGCTTACTACTTGGTTTTGAGTAGAACTTGGACAGTTTCGATGTTAGTTTTGTAGCCTACCATTATTTATTTATTTATTTGTTTGTTTGTTTCAATATAAGTGACAGATACTCTCCTTATATGAAATTATGCTTTCCGCATACGGATGTTCATCATTTTATCATACATATCATTATTAATTATCATTTATTATCTAATAATTATTGTAATTATCTCATAATTTATTATCATAATTATTATAATTATCATAAATGATAATATCTATTTTTGACCACTCTGCCTCCTAGAGTCATGCATTACTGGAGAAGCTCTCTTTTTCTTTCTCAATCAAATAACATGTAGTTATTAGAGAGAAAAGCTTGAACCTAGGAAACTCCTATTCTGTACCACCCTAGTGATGCTTTGTGAAGCAATATCTGAATGCTTTAAACATCTGGGCTTTCCTCACCACAGTGAAGATATTTTACCCTTGCTGAGGTAGCTCAAGCAGGCAATCCCAGGAAGGTCCCTCACTCCTGGTTCCCAGTGCTTTGTTTAGTGCTTATGTGCAGGAGTTTGTGGGCAGAGGCATGTGCTGGGCAAGGTTTCATGCTGCTGGCTCTGCCATGATGCTGTGCAGGTTCCCAGTGGGCCAGGCACATGGCTGCATGCAGAGAAGTTCTGGCTGAGCCTTGTTTTTAGGGTGCACATGGCTCAGTCAGCATGTGGAGGCAAACTCCCTAATACTGCTTCAAGCAGGAGAACAAGAAAGGACTTTAACACTTCAAACTGCCTGTTCTGGGCCAGACCCTCTTCCTCTGTTGGAGGGGTTGCATGAGTTTTTGTTCCAGTCTCAGCTCTATTACTGACTTTCTACTGTGTCCTCAGCAAATCAGTTGCACTGAGTTTTTTTCTCTCTGCAAGTTGAGGTAAAAAAGCTTTTGTAAAATATATTATAGTTCCATGAGTAAAGTTGCTATGGAATGAAATATGCTATTCATGACTCATAAAACGTTATGAAGATTAATAGCTACATATTTATGACTCTCCGGAAGTTACAATATTCTGTTCAATTACAAATTCTTGGTAATCCCAACCTCTTGTTGAAGGCACTTAACAGAAGTTATCTCATTAATATTTTTCATCATCTCAGATTTTTTTTGGGTAGACAGTTATTATCTGCGTTAGCTCTCCTGAGGGAAATCATAAAGATGATTACCAGGAGTTAAAATTCTGGCTAGTGCTGATTCAAGCTAGTGAAAAGCAGCACTAGCAGCTAACTTCAAAATACTTTTGTGTATAATGTTGGAGGCGGTAGATAAGGCACCTCTGAAGTGAGGCAAGTACAGCACGAGTTGGAAGGGGGAGAGAGGAGGAGTCCATATGGGCCAGATCCTCAGCTGATATTATATAGATCCAAAGATGCTTGTTCACTCTGTGCCTGAAAGGCTTTAAAGAACTAGGGCTATCTCCTTCTGTGCTCATTTGAACACTCTAAAATCTCAGTTCAGAGAGGTGTTAACACAAGTTACTCTTACGTATTCAAAATGAAATATGATCTTAAGGTTCAGAAGAGTTTGGCAAAGTTGGATATGACTAATGGATCACTGTTACTTAGATAATGGAAGTGAAGAGAGAAACAGGGACGTAGAGAAAAAGGTAGTAGAGGATAACAGCTACCTTTGAGTTCTTAGGCTCATCGTGCTTTTATTGAAAATCTCTACAAGACTTTCAAAAATGGGGTTTAAGCTTCTGAGTTATTTAATACTTTTAAGAATATATCCATAGGTAAAGGAGTGAGCTTCAAAATAAGTGGTTCAAACAAATAGGAATCAAAATGAGAGAGATAGATGCATTTTGAAATAGTAAACACTTTTGGGGGTTCAGCTGGCCTGTCATCCATGGTCAAATTCTTTGTTTGGATAGACAAGTTAAAAGTCTCCTTGCAGAAAAGTGTTTGGTCTTACTGATTCCTCATATTCTTATTTTGCAGCTTGTCCAAAGAATCAATTCCATCTATAGTGCAAAAAGAGGGAAAAAACGACTGAAGAAACTTTCTATGTCCAATATTGAAACAGCGTCCCTACGAGGTATGACACAAGCATTGTGGTTCAGTGAATCCATTTGAATGTTACAGGATTAACCGATTTCCTTCTTTCATCCACATCTACCCTGGGCTCTACTTTGTTTAGAACTTTCATCTGCAAACAGTGATAACTTTTGGTGTGCAGGAGGAGAAAATGGAGATGAGCTAAAAATAAACGAGAGTCTCGTCATTGTCTATCCTGTTAATCCCATAATCAGCTAGAATTTCCAGCTGAGTCTTTAATTCACTTTTTAAGTAGTTTGCATCTGTAAGTTTTGTCCAAAATTCACGATTTCGACTTTGTAATTCATTCATGCTTTTTCCTGGCATGTGAAAGTAACTCACACTGTGCTTCAGACTGCTTCTGCAAAAGCAAGGGCCAAAAAGAAATTCAGGCCATATTTGTAGTAGGAGCTTAACAGAGCTTCAGTGCGAGTTCACCCCAGAAATACACCTTGTTATAAGGATACTTTTGCACATTACTCTTGCTCAGTTTGGTGGATTCTGGTGATTGAAAGATCATAGGGCTTACTTCAACTTCTGAAATGCTGGGTAGCTTTTACTCAAAATAATTAAAGTCTGAAAAAGAAGTGGTAGGGTTAAAATCCATTTTCCAAATAGCACATTCACCTTGTGGCTTAGCATAGATGGAGGTTCAGAGCAACCAGTTGCTGTAAAGGAGAATTAATTTTGCACTTTAATGAAAATAAAGCTCTTATTCTCAAGCAAAATTGAAACTTAATCAGAGAAAAACATAGTCTAAGGAGCCATTAAAACTGTTTATTTCAAGTTATTTAAAACTGAGGAGAGAGCATGTGTGGATCACAAGGCTCAATGGGAGATACGATTCTTCTCAGTTTCACCACAGTCAACCAAGTTTATGTTTGCTTTGGTTTTGCATTAACTGATCCCTCTATCTCCTCTGCAGATGAGAACAGCGAGAGTGAGAGTGACTCAGATGACAGGTTTAAAGGTAAGGGATCAGCCTTCAGTAACTTTTAGTCAGCCACTGTCACAGACTTTAGTAATGTACCTTCTCCTGCTACTGCACATTGTTCCTGTCCATGATGGTCTGTGTTTTCCCTCCTGAACTGTGCTAACTCCATTACTGCAGAGCTCACAAAGTTTCCAACACAGGAGCATGAATGTAGAAAGCAAGGACAAAATGAGCTGAGAGGATCTAACAAGGATTTGGCAACTGTGTCATATAATGAAGAACAGGACCTTTGATAGTTTTGCTTTGTCAGCCACTTCACAGATGCTGATGTTTTCCAGACTGACTACTGGGTGCAAACTTAGAGGGTTGAGATTGGATAAATATGCTCTCTTCTTACTCATACAGTGCTTTAAGTAGTTACTGCTAGCTGCTGTTGGAGGCCAGATTCTGGGTCTGATCCAACATAATGGTTCTTATACTCTTTTATAGGTCTGCAGTCTTGAAATTGTAGAAATTCTTTTATCAGTGCACAGCACCTGCACAAACTCTGCTTGAGCCAGGCCAGTAAATTAGTTTCTCAAAAGTCTTGGTACACAGAGGGAACTATAAAAATGATGAGGGCAACAACAACAGATTTTATTACTAATACTCTATCACGTTGTTCATAAATGAGGGGGAAACCCCTAAGAGTGCAGAGCTGTGGTTATAAGATAAGGTCAAGCATTTGTGTCTCTCTACAGCAGATGTCACCTGCTTACTGTTCATGCAGGAAAACTTTCTGGAAAAAATTGTCTTAGGGAAAAAGATCTGCTCCAGATAGGTGGTGGCAAGACCACCCAAAACCAGCTGAATGCAGCAATGTAGTGTGATGTGTGGAAAAAGACTCATTGCTCTCTTGTAGACAGGTGCCAGCCCAAAAGCACTTTCAGTTCTGTTTCTCATTGTGTCAGAAAATACAGGGGTTGTTTTTGCTCATAGCCCGTGAAAGAAGATAGACAGGGCCTGGACAATCTCTTGTTACTGGGGGAAAATTCTAATTTCACTGGAAACTTGGAAGCTTTTACCCAGACTGTTGTGGAATGGAAGATCTTCATTCTGATGACTCCCTAACTGACTGCTCCTGTGTGACCTTAAATTTACATTGATGCTTTCAGAGCATCCTGAGCCAAAGATCCAGTTGTCACTTGTAGCATGACGGGATTCACTGAGTCCCCAGCTGTTGAGGTGGGGTGAGCTCTTTGGTTTCACCTTGTGCAAATACGAAGCACTGGCCAGCAGTGTGGGGCTGTGTCACGGCAGGACAAGGCAGGTTATTTCTTGGGATTTAGCTTCCCTAGTTGTGCAGTCGCATCAAGACCCAAGTGCTTTATCGAAATAATTTTTATGTTTTGTGTTGTTGAACGAGTTGATGACAGCTGGTCTTCAAGGGGTTTCCCTTTCTTTCTGTCAGTTAATTACTGCTGTGATCAAGTGCTTGTGACATCCTATTTCCCTGTCACAAGGGACAGCCTGCCTTTTGCAAACTGGGGGCAGCGTCAGTGAACATAGCCTTAAGGGGTTGACATGTGCTGCTGCTGATCCATTTCCCATTGCACTGAGATCCTGGTGTATGAAAAGCATGCAGGAAGCAGGTTCTACTTAGCTGTTTTCACTTACTGGTCTACCAGAACTGGTAATGATGTTACTGACTAGTCTGCCATAGGAGTCTACTGACAAGTCACTGGATCAAGGCATATCTGTGAATCAGGACTGGATGTGACCATGAATCTAAGATTGCCCCTCAGCTGAACTGGAACAAGCAAAACAATCCCACAGGAGGCAATTTGCACTTCTTCGCTTCCCTGGAGATAATTCCATGGCTTGTATGGACTAAGCCTGTGCTGTAGAAAGGGAGAAAATACACCTTCAGTGGTTCTTAGCATAAAGCTGTGCTAAGCACGGACAGGTTACAGACCTGTGTTTCACTAATGTAAACCAGGTCCAAGTCAGGCCTGAGATGTGTCACCCTGGAGGCCCTAGGTCATTTGCACACCCACATAAGGGCTTACAATCTAATTTTATGTGAAAAGAAAAAGCAGACCTTTGGCAGGGTAACAGTTATGAACTGCAAATTATTTCAGTGACTTAGTGTTGCATCACTTCAGTACTTGGAGAGAGTTACGATTTATAGGTTCAATTAGTGAGGGAGACTACAATATGAAGGTTTGCTTTTGAAAGGAGAACATGCTTGGAATAATACACTGGCAAATTGAAAGTCCTTTGTGAATGGCTGTGGCTTACACCTACACATTACAGTACCAGGTAATGATCTGTCTTTTTTTCTCCTTTTTTTCCCAATGCTAGCTCATACCCAACGTCTAGTACACATCCAGTCAATGCTGAAGAGGGCTCCAAGTTATCGAACCCTGGAGCTGGAGCTGATTGAGTGGCAGGAACGGGAGTTATTTGAGTATTTTGTGGTAGTGTCACTGAAAAAGAAGCCCACTAAAAACACTTACCTCCCAGAAGTGACATACCAGTTTCCCAAGGTAAAAGAAAAACTCTTACGTACAGTTCATTCTAGGATGAATAAGGTGAATAAGTGGGAAATTTAATATAAAACTGTTTTTTAAAAGGAGTTAATCATTCAGCTTTCATAATTGTTCCAGAGTGATCTGTTACAAAGTGAAGGGCATAGAGAAAATGACTGTAAGCTTTCCCTGTTTACAAATTTATCTTTTCCAGTGCTGGAGAGTTTGGCCTCACAATAGGTACTTTAAAGACTTGTTTAAATTCAGTTTCTAAATATTTCACTTTTAACTCATTTTGGCTATATTAGGTTTTGTTCCAAAATCACTGAAGTCAATGGAAAGACTTCTGCTGATCTGTGGGATTTCTCTTGCGCTCTTGCAGCAGAAAGGAATTCGAGTTAGGACTGTGTTTTAAGTGGCCATTGTGCAACAAGGGAGTTTTTGGCAATTTTAAAAGAAAAACCAAACACAGAAACAAGCAAACAAAAAAAACCACACCAGAAAACACGCAGCAGTGATTATCTATGTTGTACTAGCATCTGCAAGCCTGTCCTGGGGTCATGTCTCACTCTGCCATGCACAAATAAGAACTAGGTGATGGGCCCTTGCTCTTCAGAGCTCATTAATAACCCCACACCTGAGGGGTGCTGTGAACCTGGCACCAACAGTGACTGACTGAACCTCAACTTTCTCCCCCACAGCTAGAAAGACCAACCAAGCAGATGCGTGAAGCTGAGGAGCGCCTCAAGGCTATCCCTCAGTTCTGCTTTCCTGATGCCAAGGACTGGCTCCCTGTCTCTGAATACAACAGGTAAACCCTCCGCTGCTCCTCTGCTGCAGTGCTGGTGGGAGTGTGTCTGGAGCAGGCACAGGCTTGCTGATGCCCAATTAAGGAAGCAGCAGTGTGAGTCCTGGACACTGCAGGCTCAAGCAGCTGTAGTTAATCTTTTTTAACTTCTGTGTTATTTTTCTTCCCTTTTCTCCCTGCCTCACAGGCCTGTGTGGCTGAGGGGAGGACATCTGATGGTTAATCTCAGTGCTAAACCCAAAAGCATAAATGGAAGTATTTAAGATACACCAGTCCAACCTGGCCTTGAACAGTGCCAGGGATGGGGCACTTACCACCTCCCTGGGCAACCTGTGCTAGTGTTTCACCACCCTCATTGTAAAACATGTCTTCCCAATATCTAGCCTGAATCTACCCTCTTCAAGTTTAAAATCATTGCCTCCTGTCCTATTGCTACGGGCCCTACTAAAAAGTCTGTCTCCTTTTTTCTTAGAAGCCCCCTTTGAGTATTGAAAGGCCACAATAAAGTTTCCCCAGAGCCTTCTCTTCTCCGGGCTGAACAAGAACAACTCTGTCCTCACAGGAGAGGTGCTCCATCCCTCTGATCATTTTTGTGTCCCTCCTCTGGACCCTCTCCAACAGGACCATGTCTTTCCTGTGCTGAGGACTCCAGAGCTGAACACAGTACTCCACGTGGAGTCTCCTCATATTCCCCTAGAACATGAGATGGCTTTTTAGGATGCATGGTCCGAGACAGGCGAATGAAGTAAGACCTGTTCAGAGTGTGTCTAGAGGGACTTTCAACAATGACAAGAAACTAGTGTTCACCTGCAGGAATTACTGTAGCCAAGAATATGTATGGAACTTTTTATTGGCTTAGCTATGGCACATGCAACATTACCATGTTCTATTCTGTGTTGCTTGGCTGTATTATTCAGTACATGGAAACACCTGAATAGTGAGTTATTGGAAACACTGAAGGAGAAGCTGGCAATAACACTGGTATGAGAAGCACACAGCCTTGCCTACATGGCATTTCACCTCTTCTGCTGCTGCTCCCTTTCATGAGCCCATCTTTGTGAAACAAGATATTCCTCCCATATAAAGCTATAATTATATAAAATTTGGCATTCCAGCACAAAGAAAGAATATAGAATGTCATTTAAAACTTGCAAAGCAGTCAGGAATGTTTATCAGTCTGAGCACAAATTCACAGACCCATCCCTTTACCTGTGCTGTAATTATAGCCTCAAGCTCTGTTTCACTTCTGTGTCACAAACGGTACTTATCCTAGGCAGGGATATAAAATGAGCTGGATTTTGGAAATCTATGTTATTTCTGAGTCAGAAATTTTCTCTAATCTTGGAGAATATCTAAGGTTCCCCCTTTAAGAACAAAGCACGGTCCAAAGACAGGATCTACTAGAAGTTAAGGGAGATACAGCATTTCCATAGTGCCCTCCAAATCTGCTTCTTGCACTCCTTCTGCAGCAAAAGGGACTGCCATGTCACTGAAATCCAGCAGCCACCTCTTCTTATAAGAAGATAGCTAGGTTGTCCACAACTGTGCAGATATTTTTGCCCTACAGCTGATTGAATTTGTCCACAGAGTATGTTCAGATGATAGGCAGAGGGAGGCAAGACCCTCCAGTGGGTAGCATCTATCACTGGATAAAGCAGTATCCCTTTCTAGATGATCCATCTCATAGCTGTGCTGCAGTTCTGGTAGTAAGGTCTGGGCAATTTATTTTCTTCTAGTGAGACCTTCTCTTTCATGTTGACTGGGGAAGATGGGAGCCGGCGGTTTGGTTATTGCAGGAGGCTGTTGGTAAGTACATCACCTTCATCTTGAAACACAGAATTCTGTTAAGCAATATTTCAAAACTATAGTCTGAACTTTGAGGGTGTTGTCTTTCATGGGTTTAAAAGAAAATGGAGTTAGTCACTCAGAAATTTGGAAGCTCGAGTAACTAAGAATTTGTAATGGCTGTCTCAATCAAATAGATCCCATCTTGTAGAAAATTCATAAGAATGTGGAAAGTTTCCTGTGTGAGCACTTACTTTTAAAGTTCTTTACATTACATGCTTTCAAGCAGAATCAGAAATACTACAACACTGCCAACACAGGCAGATGCGGTATTCTAAACATTTGTGAGTAGTACTTATCTCTTGGACAGCTGCTTGCATCTCCAAAGTACTTTGCCAGCACTGCCTAATCAGTCTGCAACAGGTCCATGAGGTGAGTAAATAAGCCACCCTGTCAAGTTGGAGGACAACAATGATGGAGAGCATGGCACCATAACTATTTGCTCAGGACCATGCAATCAGCTGGTGCCAGTGCTGGGAAGTCTAGGTCCTCAGGCTCCTTTTCAGTTCTCATTACCAGGGACAGTCAAGGACAAGGCTCAGCCTCATAAACTGGAAAATGACTGTCACCTGGTAAACTGAGAGCATGGCAGTGTGTGTATGTTGAGGGAAGGACTGCACAAAGGCTGCCAAGTGTATTAAGGCAGGTGAAGGACGGTGCAAACAGGGATTATGCTGTTCATCCTGCAGACCTGACTGGATGGCAGCAAAGCATTAAGCAGTTGGTTGTTCCTTCACTAGCCTGTGCTCATCACCTCTTGGGTAGGGTTGGAGCTAGTTGTGAGTGACTAGGTGGAGAGCCACGGCTCCTGTGCTGTTCACATGACAGTTGTCTACACTTGGCCGGAGCGCTCATGTGGGTATGGGACGCAGCAGAAGCCTTTTGCATACTCTCTGCAAAATGAATGTCTGCAGCAGCATTGCAGACTGTAAATAGTACCCCCTATCTAAAAGAAAGAGACACTGGCATTTTCCCCTTCCTTCCCTTTCTGGCATATGATTTCCTATCTTTCCAAGCGGGCACACCTGCCTTCAGTATCTTTCAGTGGCTTCCAGTAGACAGAGCAACTTGGTTTCGTTAGAACAGCATCCTCCATCCTGTGTGCTGCCTGTACCTGGCCCTGCTCTTTGTCTATGGTAAAGCTCCTTGTCATGCAGACAGCAGCTGCTCTGTCTGGGAGGTTCTGCTGTGTGTGGTTCCTCTATTTGTAAGAAGCTCCTTTTAACCTAACATAGCAGAAAACTTGTTTATCAGTTCTGTGGGCGGTATTTGCCATAGGTAACATCACAGAGACTCTGTATAACACAGTGTGTAAGTGTAGGCCACAATGAGGTTTATAGATGAAAAGGAAATGCCAGTGAAGGCTTGTGCTGCAATAAATCTGGGGCTGGTCAGGAGGTGATTTAGAGATAAGCAAGAGAAGCACCTAAAATGTGTCCTTGCTGGTGTAAACAAGTGTAACAATAGCAGCAGTACAATTCAATTATGTTTTAATGTGTTGTCATTTAAGAGGATAATAAGGTATATTTGGAAAAAATAACAAAACCTCATAAGGTGTTGATAGAATTAAATTATGGAATGCTTTCACCACCAGGTAAAGGTGGTTTAAGATTTTTCTATTTCTGGGAACATTGGCAAGTTTGGAATACACACAGAGCTTACATTTGTGAAAAGCAAACCAATTGATCCTGGGCTACACTGAGATGGAAATAACTGGCAACAGTAAAAAAGAAGTATGCACAGGAATGTTGAATTAGCTTGTCAGTGAAGGATTACCATAGGCTTTTTTTTTTACTCACTTAAGGCTCAGTGAAATCCACCCTTCAATAAAGGCAACGTAAAAAATAGAACACCAACTTTCAGCTGGTGCAGAACATATGTTAGCATAGTAGGAAATACTAGGAACAGAATTAAAGCAATACTACATACTTTTATATAAATGGTGTTTTGTTTTAGGAGATTGGAGATTGTTTTTGGCTCTGGCAAAACTCAATCAACCAGATAGTAAAAAATAATTTAAAAATGGGAAAAATAAGTACTTGTTAAATCTAGCTAATAATTATAAATCCAGTTATAAAGCTGATCTGCTGCTGTCCTGGGAGATGACTTAATTTAGGATGTTTCATCTGGTACCAAAACCTGACATGAAGAAGCTGACATGTCTCATCTCACTGGTACAACCTACCCTGCAGAAGGTGGAGGGATACCCCTGTACTTAACCAGTTTGTCCCTTTCTGGGGCCTTCTGAGAACAAAACTGGCACAGTCTGGGGCTTAGAAAGACAGAAGATTTTGGAAGCTGCGGAGGAACATCTCAACATTTCTTTATCTGCGGAAAAAGCAAAAGTAGCAGAGATCTACTGTTGTTTGGATCCTGCAACCTCTTCCTGTCCTGCTCGGAGAAATGGTGGAATTGGGGTTGTTACCTGAAGTACCTTCTCCATAGGGTTCAGCTGTGCTCACAAAGCATAACAATTTCGTGTCCTCTGCAAATATTGATGTGTGGGTGGAACAGCCTCAGTGACGTGTACTTCAGCATGGCATTTCTGTTCACAGTTACATCCACACTTGTTTATTTTATCTGTGCAAATACAAAGTTTGTGCAGGCAGCAAGGAGCAGGTAAATTCTGCAGGCACTGTTTACATGCCAGAGCCTTGGGCTCTAAAACACATTTTTGTATTTGGGTGTTCGATTTCCTGAGCAGTTTTTGAGACATTCAGTCAGGGTGGCTTGCCAGGAGCACATGGCATCTCCTCCAATTAGTCCCGTTCCTGACCCACAAGTTCTGTCAAATCCAACAAATGTAATTTGGGAACTACATGCAGTTTTTTGGCAAACATTAGAGAAAGGTGGGGCCATAATGTATAATATAGAGCCATAAGAAAACTCTAAAATCATTATGAACTGCTCTGCTTCAAGACAAGCCAACTGCTGTGAGGCTAATTCCTCAGAAAATATTTCCCAGCTGTCCTGGCGAGCGATGCTCTTGTAATACCCAGTTGGAGGTGTCACACCTTTCAGAGCATTTGGCAGTCCTCAGCTCCGTGGCTGGATGGGCCAACCAGCCTGATCCTGGAGGGATGGCTATCTGTGTCTTCTGCGGAGGCTGGTGCTCCGAGTCCGTTGTTTATGAAACAGTTACTTTTTGTCAGCCTTGTTCTCCTTTGGCATGTTGTGATATGAAAAAACTGCTCTGCTTTTTCTTTTCTGCCTTCAGATTTCACATTCTTCCAGACCCCTTTTTTGGGGTGTGTACTCTAAAACCCTGCCAAAACTACCTCAAGGGATACAGTGACAATTATGTTCTGTTTGTACTGCAGATCCTGTACAGTATCCCATTTATACGTATTTATATTGTTTTGTTTCATTTTGGAATGGGATTAGAATGGAATGTAATCTATTGTACCACAGCAAACAATCTGCACTTCCATAGATAGCAAGTTTCCAGTTACATCTTGATACCTCCAAGGCAGTCCTGTAACAGCTTTCCTAGTGACTTGATGTGAGAAGTATGCATCTTCATATAAAAGGAAACGAGCCTATATATAGTAGAGATATTAACTCTCACTACTAAGACATTTTACTGCAAATAAGACATTTTTCTTTAATAACTCGGATTGATTTAACTTTCTTTTCCATGCTAATTAACGCATCAACTTGCTAGGCTCTTTTCTGGAGCGGTTCTTGGGCTGTGGCTCTGCAATATGCACATATCAGCAGCAAAGGTGATTTGAGCAGTT